TGTCCTGTGGTGCAGCAGTGTGCTGGCAACAGTACAGATATACCCACATCTTGACTCCCAGTCTCCCATTCCACTACCTTTTTAAATCTGAGTGCCTTCCTGGTTTCTGAAAGGCAAGTTAAAATTGTTTGCTGCTGGAAGAAGAATTGTTGCAGTGAGACCACGTGCAATGGCTTAACCTTAGGTGGGAGCACGTATACCTGTTCACTCAGTAATTATTGAGGTAACTGCTGGTATTCTCAGAGCTGTATGGGCAGAATGTTGATATTGTATCTCAAATGTAGTTGTCAAATGTGATGATATTTCAGCCATTCTTACTAGTTTAATGCAGTAAACTTTTTGGTCTGGTTTTGAAAGGACTGTTGTCAAATCTGCTTTGGAGTATTTAATACTTTGAAACCAGGAATTTTGGGATGCAGTTTAAAAAATGTGAGCATTAATGTAGCTTGAACTTTGCATTTGTAGCCACATTGAGATGAAACATACTTCCTTTTGAAACATAAATATTAGGTTGAGTTTGTAGCAGCACAAATGAATCCTGACTTTGAGGCCAGACAGACAGGGCACGTCCTTTTCCTGCTAGTTTTAGGCTCTGCCCTGTGCAGCATTTCCCATACCTTAGTGCAGGACTGTACCTAAGCTGGTTTGTTCCTTTGTAGGCAGTGCTTCTAAGCCACCTAAACAATTGGTGATGCAGCTAAACGTGCAGTCATAAAGAATATTTTTTTCAGAGGAGGAGTTCCCTTTTATGAAAGGAGGCTGGAGGCATGTCAAATGCAAAGCCTCTTTCTTGAAAAGTGTAGTTTCTTAAAGTATGAGTGATAAAAGTTTACTCTTTAAAGAGATTCAGCTGCAAGTCTTTTAACATGCAGGAAGTCAGGATGTGTCTGTTTTTCACAGTAGTTACATTGTTGCTCTTGAATTTGGAGGTTTTGGAAAGGGACTATGTAGCAAGGATATTGATCTTCACTGAGTGTTTGGTAACTAGCCCTGGAATTAATCTTGCGCTGTTACAATGTGCAGGAGGTTGACCTCCAGCCTTTCCTTCCAGCCATTTAATTTAACCTTAACTGCAATATTTTTGATAGGCAACTGTAACTTTGGAGGGAGCAAAATCTTTTCTCATATATGGGTATTCTTGTTCTGTGTAACTTAAATGCCTGTCAGTACTAATTTGCAGTGGAGCTGTTAAAGAAATCTCTCTAAAACAAAGTTGTTAGCTTTTGAACGTGACCGATGACTTGAAATCATCTCTTCTCTCCTCTTAGGCTTCTGTATATAAGATCTGCAGAGAAATGTATGCTGATGGAGCTGATCAACCCTTCCATAGTTTACCAGATTTAATTGGAGACAAGTATGTATTGAGAATGAATGACCTACAGATGTGGTTCTGAAAGATGAAGTCCTGACACTGTATTGAATTTGAATTTTTTAAAGTGTGTGTGAAGAATGTAAAGAGCATTTGATTTAAAAAAAAAAAAGGTGCCCTCTGTAGGTCTCAGAAAATTGGGAGTTTGGTTTCTTAAAGATACTATTAACAGTTATGTTTCAGTTTATGCTTTTGTCACCTGTTGTGACCTGTTAGAAAAAAGACTTAGCTGAAACCTCCTCTGTATTACAAAACCTGTGCATCATAGTATCCTATTATTTCAGATTTTGGAAAGTATATCATGAGAGTGTTCATAGTCTGAGGTTACCCTCTGGTATTTTTTTTCCAACCTAGTGTAATTCTTCAGATAACTGAATTTTTTTGAGGACCAATCTCCCAGCCAACTGTCTTGAGTTTCTTCTGAAATAAATGTTATAAAGTACCTGTACCTACTTTTAAAAAGAGTAAGCAGTGACAAGTGAGATGAAGTTAAAAACCAAACAAAACAAACCATTAGCTACTTTGAGTGTATTTTTATTTTGTCTCGAGCGTTTAATTTAGATAAAAGTTTGTAAAGAGGCTGCTCTGAGTGACAGGAAGATAGTTACACACCCTTTCTTAACTGATATCAAAAATACCCAAAAGAGAAGATGGAAGAACAAGGAGGTAATGGCAGCAGAGAAACTGAGGGCAAAGGATGAAGGAAGTATGTGTTTCTAGTGAGTCAGAAGAGCAGTGTGTATGGAATTAAATTGTGGGATCCTGAGATGCAAATGTTGCTCATAGCTGAGTTTTTGACAGGTGATCAGTCTGTTAATGCTTTGCAGGAACTAATTCCATGACTGGAGAACTCTGTCACATCTTTGGATGACCTTAGGGTCTCCTCCAGAATACCTGATGAGTGTGCTTGTTCAAAGTGACCTTCTTTTGACTGAATTTGGGCACTTCTTTCTGCAGGTTAGTAGGAGGTCTACTCACCCTCAGCCTGGATTACTGCTTCGTCTTAGAAGATGAGGATGGCATATGTGGCTATGCTTTGGGAACGGTTGATGTGACTCCTTTCATTAAAAAATGCAAAATGTCTTGGATCCCTTTCATGCAAGAAAAATATACTAAGCCAAATAGTGACAAGGAGCTGTCTGAGGCAGAGGTTGGTATAACCCATGAGATCAGAAATGTATGCTGAACTCTTTCTTTCCAAAGCAGGTCTTTGGTTTTTCTTTTACATTTTGAGCTTCTGTGTAATTCAATTTTTGTACCTTTCTGAGGTCTTTGATTAGCACAACATCTTATATCTTAGAAGGTGACAGTAAAATTATTCACTGCCAGTCAGATAGAGCTGTGTTGTAGTACACCCATGAGGTATACTTTAGTAGTAATCAATGCAGTAAATGTAAGCCGCCTTAATCTAGAGAAAATTACATTTTTGAAAATAAAAGATTGCTTCTGCTATGTTCTCCTGCAGAATGAGATATTAGTTTCCCTGTGCTGCAGGTAAGGCCTAACCCCTGATAGTCTCGTCAGTTTAAGTATGGAAAACAAATTAAAGAGCACTTGATTTTGATGTTAAAATCCATGAGCTATATGTAGAGTGTGACATCTGTAAATGGTGCAAAATAACATTTTACCTTGAGCAAGTGCTAAAAATCAATATCTTGAATTGTTTTTGGAAGAAATCAGAAAAATGATGTCACTGAACTGTCGGACATAGTGAAAAGTTCTAACTGATGCATTCTTGTCAAGGAAGGAAATACATTTAATGCTAAGTAAGAGGTGTTGATCCACACTTGCAAGTGGAAGATGTGGACAAAGCTGTAGTAGAGGCAGGCCCAGAAACACCACTTCTTAGCTTTTTTCTTTCCCTCTGAAGAGGGAGAGAATACTTTCCAGAAAATATTCTCCAACAAGCTGTCTGAGTACAATGGCTGGTGTCAGACTGGTGGGCCTCCTAAGGGAATCCCCAGCTGGTAAGGGCAGAGCAAAAACTGCATGCATGGCAGTGTGCCCTTGCTTTATTTGGCTAGGACTTTGACAAAGTCTTAAATGAGGTCATGACTCTGAGAGCACAGGCCTTCAAACAAGCAAAGCAAAGCTTCCTGGAAATGGAATGAAATGTTTGTCACCCTGTTGTGAAAATGGCCACTACTTATAGGCATGTTTGGGGGAAAAGTGAAGTACATTTTAAAAAAAAAAAAAAAAAAAAAGAGTGCCTTGCAGCAAATACCAATGTTCTGGGGTAGGTGTGACTAGAAGGACTACCGCTATTCTGCAGTTTATAGGTTTTATGACTTGATTCTTCTCCATTTGTGCAGTGTTGTGCTTTCGACTGTATATGCACATTCAGATTCTGAAGCAAAGCTAATGCATATAAAGATATTGGAAGCTAAGTATGGCAAGGCTGTAATAGGTACAGTAAGGGACAAGGGGCCTTGATTTCCAGAAGTTTAAAGCCAAACTTCAGAGAGGAAGCAGAGGTATTTTGTACTGATAAACATCTCAATAGAAAAAGCTAGTTTAAGAACATTTTTTGCTGTTGGTACCTTGCCCCAGGATTTCTGCTGCTTGTACAGTATCTCAGAAAAAGTCTGTTTCTTGAGACTGTGGGCTTGAGGGATGTTTCTGGGAGTACAGAGGAGCTTTTGGTACTTTGCTGTCAAGATAGATGCTGTGGGATTTATCCATTTAGCCTTTTGACATTATAAAGGAATGTAGAGAATATTCAGTAGTTGTTTAAAAGCCATTGTCATTGAAGATTACATAGGGAAAAGTTTTCTCACAGAATGGGATTGATTTGGTTTCCATTACAGACTTCTTACCTCTTGATAATCTCAGTCTCCACTTTGGTTTGAAAAGCTTCCTGTCCATATGGTCTAGATCATTTGATTCAAACTGTTGACTTCTGATACAGTTCAATTGTTTTCTAGTTTACTTAAATACGTCTTGAGCCCCAAACTTCATGAGATAAATCTTGTGTTTCACAAAAGAAAAATCCAGTCCTCTGACTTGTGTCATACTGTCGTGAGCTTGTCTTGCAGTTTTATCTGGGTTCCTGTCAGGGCAGTTTGTCTGGTATCTGCTTTTCTTGAGATGAGTTGTTATTGATCATAAGCGGTGAATGCATGATCTCACTAACTGCTTTATAGCCCCACCTGTACCCTACTCCTTGATAACCCGTTTTACCTCTTGTAGCACTTCTGTGGTTGGAGGAAACAGGTATCACCTTTGCCTTGGTTCTTGAAGCCAGCATGGCTAGCTTTGAACACTTTCTGTGTGATTGTGTCTATTGTGTGATAAAGAAAAGCCCAGAGGAGCAGGCGTAGGTCTGAAGTAGTAACTTTGAACAGAGACTTTCCCTGCAAGAGTTTGGGAGATGGCAGCTCAAAATTTGAGGGGGTTACATTTAAATTTGACCTGAAAAAAAATGTGGGGGTTGCTAATGTTATGGTTCCTTGTGTGATGAAGTCCTAGTTTGGGTTGTTATGGTAGTGACTTTCAGTTACACAAGAAATGAAGTTAGGTGGCTTGTTGACTTAGAGCCAGTGCTCCCTAAAGGTTTTAAAATTCAGTAACCAGCAGGGGGAATGACTTGAGTATATTTCAGATTTGGCTTTGTCTACTTCTGCATTACCTCACTTGATTGTTCCATTCCCATGAGCTGCGTGAAGTTAACGTCTGATGTCACATGTCCAAAGACCTTCCTGGATGATTGCAGTAGTCTTTGGTGATCAACAACATTTAGTCATCCACAAGGCTTATTTCAAGCTAGAGACAAATTTGTCTTTGTTGGGGCAAGTAGTCTAAGGTAATTGCATGGACATGAGATATTTCCAGGCTGCTGTGAACCAAAGAATACATGTGGACAGTTAGGACACTTAGAGCTAAAACTGCCCATGTAAAATGCAAAGAAAAGGAATACCTGTGCACAAACTGTTAGTTAGGAGTTGGCTTATGCTTTTTCTCACTTGAAGTGTGGGTCACTGAGAAGTCACACAAGGAATCTTGCATTCCTCCTTTGGCAGTCAAATCTTCTGTAGTCTGCCTCTTTATCTGGAGTACAGAGAGAGATTCAGCAGGTAAGGAACAAAGTGACCATCAGAGGTGTGGTTGAAAAGCATGCTGATTTGGAGGTATACTCTGTGAGCAGAGCAGACTCCCTTAATAAACATGAATGAAAATGAAAAACTGGATTGCAATTAAATGCCTGCTTCCCATATTCTTTTCAGAAAATAATGCTAAGCTTCCACGAAGAGCAAGAAGTATTGCCAGAATCATTTCTTGCCAACTTCCCATCATTGATAAAGATTGATATCCACAAAAAAGTGACAGATCCGAGTGTGGCCAAAAGTATGATGGCCTGCCTGCTCTCTTCTCTAAAGGCTAATGGTAAGCTTCTTGCCCTCAAAAGTCCTTGTTTCCTAATTGTTGGTTCTAGGGTGCAAGGCAAACTTGAGGATATTAACATTATCATATTGGCATGTCAGCCTGACATATTTGATTCCTGCCATAGCTGGCACTCTAGATTTAGGTAAATAATTATAAAAGCTTTCAGATAGCTAACTTCTGCTGCTGTCTTCAGTAAAAGGTAGCTTTTTCACTTTAGCCATTATCCTGCAAATTAGAAAATAGAAAGAACTGAGGGAGCAATTTGGCAATAAGAGAACACATTTTTACATCTTGAACAATGCACAAATGTTTCTATTTCCCCTGCTGGCATTGGTAATGATGCTTTTTTCTTATGTGTGGCAGTGTGCACTGGTGGGTAATTACCAAAACTTTCAATACGGGGAAGTACTTGGCTGTCTGCCTTACTGCGCACCTGAGGTTCACGGTTCCTTTGTGCTATTTTGTGCCTGCTTCTAGTGCTATTTTCTGAGCCAACATCAGAGTTTCAGGATGCTTTTCTGTGAAACGAAAGATCTGCAGAGGGGAGATGTTTTTTTTCAGACTGACAAGACATCTGCAACATGCAGCCCCTTAAGGGAATGGTCAGCTATGTTGCCATGAATCTACTCTGTTTTGGGCACTGTGCTCCATATGGAATTGGATCAGTGGTTTCAGTGTGGGTTTAAATGTTAAAATAGGTGGAAACTCTAGTAATAGTTGATGTCTGTGCTTTTTACAATAACTCTTCTCCTCAATGTTTTGTTTCTCTTTTCCTTCTTCAGGCTCCCGTGGGGCTTTTTGTGAAGTGAGACCAGACGATAAAAGAATCCTGGAATTTTACAGCAAGCTGGGTTGTTTTGAAATTGCTAAAATGGAAGGATTTCCAAAGGATGTTGTTATCCTTGGAAGAAGCCTGTGAAGTGCTTGACAGCAAACTGTTCCAGTACTGTAGTCCCTTAACAGCTGGGCAGGTAGTGGTGGGGATCTTCATATGGTCTAGCTGCACAAAGCCAGCAATAAGCCAGCTTGGTAGAAGGGGCTATGCGAAAAATCACCCATCACACATTCAAACTGTAATTTGTTGAAAGAGGATAATGCTGCTGAAAACACTGTTTTAACAAAGAGAAACCTTGTCCTCTCCTGGTCCTGTGTGAAGTGCCAAGGAATCTTGCATGGGCTATAGCTTCTCAGAGGAATCCCTCTCAATCGGCGCTGTGGCTGACAGCAGTTCTCTGCATTCATGTGTCAACACCAAAGTGATCTCTGTCAGAAGTATCTATAAAGATGCAGGGGTTTTTTTTTCTGTCATAGAGCAGGAACTGCAACTGGAAGTTGCAGAAATGGGAGGGATTGCTTGTGTCAATCAGCAAATTTAAAGATAAGTAGCTACAGTTCTATTTTTTACTATCTTTATGCTTGTTGATAAAGCAATGACCCGTTGTCACTTCTAATGACCATTGGTTCAAGCTTTGTGCTTTGTTAGGGACAAATGTGCAGTGGTCTGTGGCAGAAGTCACTTAATGACAAACTTGTAAATTTCAGTGTATATAAACTTAGCGGTATGCTGACTAACTTTTTGTTTACCAGTTTTTGTAACTTTTTCTTTTGAAAAGTGAAATGGTATAGGTGCAAGATGGCACTTTTGAATAATCTAAAACCACAACAGAGAACGAATCTGTCTTCAGCACTGACCTTTCTTATTGTGCCTCATATCCAGGGCTAGAAACTGACCATCTTGGGTAAGGGGTGCGGATCCCTAACGATCCTTCCTTCAGACAGCAGTTTGTCTTGCTGCTTGAGGTTATCATCGTTCTCCTGGGACTGAAACAGCATTGCTGAACCCATTAATTTTGGTAACGTTTGCATGGGATTGCGGATGAAAGACAGTGAGAGGGAGAGAGCTGGCCCACAGCTGGGACTTGTCCTTGGAACAGTCACCATGTTTCAAAGCCTGTTCGTACTAGTTTGATTAAATCAGGATCTTAAGTCCTGCACATTTGTATCAAAAAACTTTTCTATAAGAAATGCCACAATAAGCACATTTTTACACATTATTTAAATGGTTACCTACTTTTAAATGTTCCAAGAGTTTAATGTTTTTACCCAGGTCTGGCGTGTTTGGCTATGGGATGGAATCAACATGGTATGGGATCTGGTAGTGAGGTAGTTGCATCATTTATGAAACTGGTATTTCACACAAGTCCCAGTGTCCCAGATATGTAATTGGCCAATGGTATACACCTTGCAGTACCTTGCTTCTTTCACCTGCTGCCATCAGCTGTCTTTATCTTGCTTTTTCATTTTCCTGGGGGTTTTTTTCAGTGGTGTGCAAGGAAGTTCAGTTCCTTTTACAAGCCTCCAGCTACGTAGAAGTTAGGCAACCTGTAATGAACGGCACTAAGACTGCAGTAATGTTGTCTGTGACCTGTAAAGAGATGCTGTGCTTGGCCTTCTGGTGCAGTCACATGCAGGATGGGGTTTGTTTGTTGGTTTTTTTTCCTTTGCAGAATGTGAACAATTTTTTAATGCGGTAGCGAAGTATTTAAGTTGAAACAGGTTCATTTCATTTTTAGAGAGAGGTACGGTGTTGTGCTATGGGATTTCATGTAAGTCAGAGCTGAATGCCACTAGTTTTTATACAGCTTTGAGTGCATGTTGAGTAGCTGATACCTTGGTTTATCAGGTGGGAGAGTTTTGTTTCTTCATGGATACCAGAGTCAACTTATTTTAGCTGGATGCGTAACATTACAGCATAGGATGCTCGTGGCCTTATTTCTTGGCTTTTAAGGAGTTGCCACATTTTCTCTTCCTATGACTTTGTTACTATTATAGAAGTTAATTGTATAAGCCTATGGAATGTCAGGCCAATACCATCATTCTAGGATTGTAAAGTGATACATTGACATATCTTTCATGGTTATGAATTTTCATTAAGGTTGGAATGCCACTTTCATTAATCTGTTTTTAGATCAACAGTAACTGTAGCAGAAAAAAATGACCTGTAAAACTGTATTTGAAGACCATGCGAGAAATAGAATAAAAATTGAGAAGTGAATGTAAATAAGAAATGTGTATTTTGTGTATGAGGTTTTTTCAGCAGTGTATGTTACATCATGCCATATATGTGTTTGGATGCCCTCGGGATCAGCTGGCAGAGAAGCTTGTCTCTGGTTTTGGTGGCGGCAGCGTGTTGCATGGTAGATGCTTAGCTGTGCTGATGCTTTTCAGAGGCGAGTATTCAGTGACCCTTCAGAAGTACTCACCCCCAGTTTTTTTGGGGTGGCAGTGACCTTTCTTGTTGGCCCTTCTGCGAGTAGCACCAGTTGAACTTTACCAATATTGTAAAAACTAGTTCTTTCAAAGGCGGTCTCCAGTGTCTGGCAAATCCAGTGTGAACTGTGTTGCAGCAGTGCTCGTTAGCACTTCTGCTGGGTGTAGAGGTTGCCGACACCCTGGATAGCCTGCCAGCAGAAGCAAGGTGAGGCACAAGTGACTTGAGGGAGGTCACACGTAAGGGGAAACATCATAGCTCAACAGTCCCGCTTTAGTTGTACAGCCAAAAAATTTACCTTACAGAGCCAAAGACCTGAGGTAGCTAATGCAAGTCGCTTTCTGCTTAGAGTGGCAGCCCAGCCAAAGGGGTGGGTCAGGGTATTAAAAGCAGCTTTTTCCTAAGGTGAGTTCACAGGAGTTCATCCGCCTGCTGTGGAAGTGCGCTGGTTATGCAGTTCGAAAGCTATGTATTGTGGAGAACATGATAACACACAAACTAAGCAGGGAAATTAGCAGTTAAAATCTTTTATCCTAACCCAGTAAATGTGTGCTGTGTTAAAATTATAATTTTTCTTTACAAAATCAAAATGTGTATAGTTGTCTTTTATTGAAGCCTATTTCACGAAGTTTGCCGTTTCTGCCGTATGTGATTTGCATATGCCAAACAGATCTCAGCCTGAGAGACAGGTTTGGGCTCTACGTGCCAGGAACCCTTCCTTCAAGGGAGCATGAAGCAGAAATGGGCGCTCTTGCCCCCGTTGCTGCAGACAGGTCAGGTAGTAACGTGCTGCTGCCAGCCAGATGGCTGCGGAGAGCAGCCACTGCAGTAGCAAATGGGTGTGCTTGTGTAACCATCGCTGAGCGAGCGCTTGCCTCCTTCTGGGGCCAGGATCGGCTTTTCAAACCTCCTCAGTCGTGTTTTTCTTGAACCGACTCCAGCTGGAACAGGGCAAATGGCTGGCTGGTGGAGGTCTCCTCTGCCATGGGAGCAGAGCCAGCTTCTGACTGAGAACGCAGTGTGAGCTCATCGTTAGCGGGGTTTGTTTTAATTCCTGCAGCACGGATCAGACTGCTTCCCTTTCTGCTGTGAAAGGTCAGTCCAGCTCTCTGCTCCCTGTGAAAGATTTTGGAGCAGGATCTTGCCTTCTACCTTCACAAGTTCCTGTACTGCAGTCCCTGCTGTGTGATCACGCTGCTCTCATCCTCACCCATGCTTAAAGGGATAGAGATGAGCAGGTCCCTCCCGTTGTGCCTCTGTCCCCTCTGATACCCCTCTTTATGCCCTTAACCTTCTGCCTCTCTTTGTTCTGTTGGTGCCCCAGGTCGTCTCCCTGGCGCCAGGATGGTGCCCATGAGAAGGGCTGTGGGTGGACAACTGGCACGAAGGGCCATTTTCCTGTGTGGTGTTTCCACAGCTGGCATTGCAGTCAGTAAACGCTTTGGCTGAAGGCCCGGGGTGGGCAGGAGACCCCGAGTTAAAGGGTGCAGTGGTGTCTTTCATCTCCAGCGTGGCTTTTGGGCTGTTCACCATTCTCACGAGGAGAGACCCTCTCGCCTTCTGCTGTTCCTCCTCTTGCCTCCCCCAAGAAAAATCTTCTGAGGGAGGAGGCCGGTTACCATGAACAGGCATTAGGATGCCGCTGGGGTAATAACCCTTTTGCCTTTATTGCAAGGATGTGAAGTACTACAACTACAGCGTTTCACCGGGTACTCCCCTCCCCGCCCTTCCAGAAAGGTCCCCTCGCCTTTGCTGACGCCAGTGGGGGTTCCCCCACGCAGGATGCGGGACGATGCTGCGGTGCCCTTTGGTTTTGTCATTCCCGGCCGGGGGC